TAAAGTCTGATTATCAGATTTTAATTAAATTTTCCTTTCTCCGGCTATGAAATATTATAAGGCATTAAACACAAAATCATACCATCTTATATTTTTTTTGCTTTTAACACATTCCATAAATATTTATTCTAACTAATTTTTATTAAAAACATTAAAATTAAAAAAATAATGCTCTGAGTTTTACTTAAAATAATTAAGAATCAATAAATGTCTTCATAGATTTATGTATTGCATCTCTTTTATATTAAAATGAATGTTAGGTATAAAATTTCAAATACCGGATACTTTTGATTTCAGAATATTTGAATAAGAAGCAAAGTGTATTGGCTATACTGCTTAAAGTCTTAAATTTGATTTAAAAATGTTTAAAATAGTTTTAAATGAGGTATATATCGTAAAAGTATTAATTCTTACTCAGTCGTCTACAGTTACTATATCCAATAACTATCCATATAATTAAGTTCGAATGTGATAATTTTTACAGAGTAAAACCTATTAAAATAATATATATTCATTGACTTGTGTTTTCGTAAGAGAAATGAAATATGTGTTCAAAACCAAAAACTGTGCGTAGTACTGTTTCTTCGTCCGTATACGTTTCCTTCTATTTTTCATTATTATTATTATTATTATTAGTATACGTACGGTCATTGTTTGAAACTTTTACACCACATGAGAAAACACTCTCTTGATTCGTGTTGCTGACGGGTTAATGAAAAAATCGTTAAATTTTTCCATAAACATGTGTGTTTACATATATAAAAGAATTTAAAATTTTCCATCCTGAAATCCGCTCGTTCCTCAAGTATGTCACTACATATGTGTATAATATGTTAATGGGTGTAGGAAAACTAATGGCATGTGAATGATTTATAACGACTATAGACACCGAACACGGTGACAAATACACGGTTACCGGGTGTTTATAACATATTCGTGAAGCACCTACATACGTGTGGGTGTATAGTAGATACGTTTATATGTGTATATACATATTCATTATCGTGTACTCGTCGCGCACTCGAAACCAAAAATTGTCGTTTTCGTGTAATTGATTCAGACGCTCTTAAATGATTGGACGAGTGGTGAAACACGGGTGGTGACTTATTTTCGGAAAGAGCGAACCATGAGATTCGCAAACGTCTCGGTTCCCGTCCGACTGTCTGTATATCTGTCTATCCGTCTGCCTTCATGCCTGTCAGTTCGTCTGTCTGTCCATCTGCCTATCCATTTGAAAACAAAAGAACAATCGGGAACCTAATAATAAGGTTATGTAACACGATATCACGGCCGATTAGGGTTACCGCGACCAGGGTGAGCGAGACGATGGTATAGTGATGCGTGTACGGAGATAAATGTTCACACGCACCCGGCTTTATTTATTCGCGTCAGAAGTTCCGAGACGCGAGCGAATATTGATGTGATGGTTAAAGGTGTGTCATCACGAAGCACGATGATTCGTTGAATATTAACGTTCCCCTGTTTCTCCTACCACCCAACCTAGATTTTAACTCCTCCAGCCGTCCGAAAAGATCTCCCTCGGTGTTTCGCGTTCGACCCCCAACGAGAGGGTTAGAACATAAATATTTATACATAATGTAGAAATATGGTATTATACATACCCAGCGGCAGCAATAGATTTGTCGATCGTTGACAACCAACGGCAGTATATATTAATATATGTTTAGAAGCGCAGAAATAGTGATGTATATAAACGGCTGTTAAACGCACAATATACACATAAGGATAAACTATATACATGTTGATAAACATAAATATATGTGTTTTTGTATGTGTGTGTGTGTGCATGCGTATGTATAATGTAAATATAATAATATATGATATTTGTATGTACATAGTACATAGACCATAAGACGGCAGTGAGAGAGGTAATAATTCCGTTCGACGGTAGCTTACAAATGTTGACATGTTTTTATAGAACACATATACTTAGTTGATTGAAGTGAACCATAATTTATTGCGTGGTTTTTCCGTGGGATACGATACAACCGAATGGAAATCGAAATCCACCAGCGGAGCTTCGTCGACAATTTATATTGTAATTGATAAAAAATAATACCAAACGATATATAAAAAAAAAAAAAACATTACTAGTGTAACGTTAGCAAGCTCATGTGTATGGTGTAATGCCTCCACGTATATTATAATATTTATGCATGTATTGTATATGTGTACTGAAGATACACTTACGTGCGTGTACTATAATGTAAAATATCTTTTGAATTGTTAAAACGATAATCCTCGAAATCACTTCGTCCGCTCTCTAATGTACTGGTTTGTGTACCATATATCGGCAACACAGTAACGTGTATGCGTATAGATATTGTAATAAGTGTATTATGCGCCAACACAATGGATTTGTTTATACATATATAAATATTTAATCTCATCGGGTATGAGCTGAAATAAATTCATATGTCAATTTTGTATAATTTCGTAATTAATAGTAGCTTATAAAATTTTAAATTCTATAAATACCACTCGTAATAAAAATAATAAAAAATGAAAATAAAAATATAACTGTTTTAAAGGAATATTAACGAAATTATTTTTATCGTGTATAAATTGAAATATTATAAAACAAATGCGAATAAACATCAAATTTCCTGAGATGACATTATACTATATTTAAAAAATATATTCAATTATTTATTCATATAAAACGATAATATTTTAAAAGCGACGCAGTGAATTGTATATGTAAAGGATACCATATTTAAAATGTATTTTTAATATACTTTAACGATCACAGAATGTCTTTGTGTTCAATGAAAATTTTAATGTAAATTATATCCTAATAATTTTATTTGCTTGTCATAAAAAAATAATATAAATCTGTTGACTATATATTAAGAATGAATGTAATTTAACAATTTAAATTATAATGCAAGTATACTGAGTGCAGAATAAATTTGACGGATTGACTTGCTTTGTAGTCATGGAATAATTCAGTAATATTTAGTATTAATACATTTCCTACAATTATTCCTAATACAAAATGGAATAATGAGTTATAGATATTCAAGGTATTATTGTTATACTGTATAAAATATTGTTTATAATTATTTAAAATTTAATCTAAGTGAAACTTATTCTAATTAAAGTTTAGTTTTTTTTGCGTTCCGAACTAAAATTTCAATAAAAAATTATAATCCACAAAAGTACATGCAAAGTAATTTATGTGAATATAAGATAAAAATATGTTTTATTTTTCACTGAAAATATACATTAGATAATAAGAACCTGGAATTCATCAATAAATTTGATCCTCAAATTGTGGATATCAATTCATTTTTGTTTCGTGCGATTAAAAATGTACAATTTGTATACGTAAATGTTTAGCTTACATTGTTATAAATTTAATTTAAAATCAAGAGTTTATATCGCTTTATTTCATAAATATTTAATAATATCATAGAATTCATATGTCAAATAACTGAATAAAATTTCTTATTTTTAAAAATCAACAGTTAAATTATTTATTTTGGTTATAAAAATTCTGTATTAATTATTTAAGATAAATTATTAAATAGTATATCTATGTAATAAACTTAAAAATAAGTAAATAAATGAATAATTTCTTACTAAGAAATAAAATTTGAAATTTTATTTTTAAATTGTAAATTGTAGTAAGAAAAAACAACTATAAATATAATCTATCATTTTAAAAATGATAATTTTTTTACTTGCATAGGTAATTTAATTTTGTACTAAATATTTGATGAAAACAAGCTGTCAGGTAATTTAAGTTTGGTACTAAAAAAAATTTATTATTTCTGATTTATTTATTAAATTTAGTATGCATTTTCTTCTAAAATATACCCATTAATTTACTAAGTAAAGAATATGTATTAACTATTATTACATTTACAACGAAGCATAAACCCAATAAATAGCTATTATTTAAATTACAAATTTAAAAAACCATCAACTATTAATTTTCGGAAAATTGTAAATAGAACCAGTTAATTTTAAAAGTTATTTTTATCTGAAAACTTAAATCATTGATTATTTATTATTATTTAAATTTTGTAATAAATAAAATTAATTTAAATAAATATTTTGTCTGAGTTTTTAGATTTTTTAATAGTATGATTCAGATTACAATTTCGTTATATTTATCATAATACACATAAAATAAGCTTAGTATTTTTTTTCACATTTTTTCTTCTTACTTTTTATAAGCGATAAATGAAAAGCATTGTTATAAATGCTCTCTTTAAAATAACCTTTGAATTTTTTTCTATAAAAGCATTGTAAATAAATATAAAATAAATTATTGCACTTGTTGGTTACAGATAATTAAATTATTTTAAATTAATATAATTATTTTGAATATTTAAATATATAAGTATAAAAAATACATGGTTTTGTTAAATATAATGTTTACGATCGTCTCATTTTTTGTCACAATATAGACGTGAATGCTGTATGAATTAGCTTTTATTATAATTAATTGTTAAAAATAAATTACGTAAGTTAAATTACACAAATGTAATTGAAATTCAGTATGAAGTTATTGTGTATGATGAGCATTGAACGTACCGTATATTTTATGCATACATATTTATGAATATCAGCAATTAAATATTAAATCTTTGGCAGCTGAAACCTCTGGCAATTTCATAAGATTTGCATTGGTATTTTTTTATCAATTGCGCAAAAAAAAAAAAAATGCGATAAAGACATGTTTGCTGATATAAAAACCTAAACGTTTCTATCATGAAACACATATGATTATTAAATATTATTATTGAGATTATTTTTATCAAAAATTGACATAAATCTTTTCAAGCGCAACTCGTAATACCACATTATTGATTATTTTGCTCGTGCATATAATTATTCCTGTGGTTGCACTTAATTTTAGTTCTACGGTCAAATCAATTAAGCCAATCTATGTTTTTCATTTAAACTTGTCAATACTTTTCTTTTATACATTAATCGATTATTAATAATACCGTGATTGCACTTGACAGATATCAGACGACGATCGTATGTCTTTGACAACCGCTATCAGTGACGAAGATGACGCAGAGAGCACTCAAAATTCACCATACCGGGGTAAACAAACAGGGACTGCAGCCGCCTCGTTTAATTGTACGGGAGCTGTCAGAAAAGCAGGGTAAGTAAATATATTTTGAAATATGCAGTCTTAATTTTTTTTTTTTTTTAATGAAAATTTCATCCATGCAAACTTGTTTGTGTCATATCACTGTCTCATTCTACAACGATAGTAGCCGGTAGACTACGTTATACAAACATTATAATAATAGTTCTATTTATCAGTGTTTTATACGTGACACTTTACATAAGCTTATGTAGTTTTTGTAAAATAAATCCGACATTTTAAAACATGTATTCATAAAAAATATGATATAAAATACGTAATCTCAACAATTCAATATAATAAGCTCCAAATACTCTTACAGAACGTATAATTATTATACAAAAACATTCTTGATTCGACTTCATTATTTGCTTTAATTTATAAAGGAATGATTTATGTTAAACATTTTATATACAGTGGTGTATTGGTAAATATATTTGTAGGTATACGCACTAAAAAAATATGGATATTAATCCTAAAATAAATTTTCTTGCTTCGCTCGACAATGGTTTTCTCTAGATACGTTCGAAAAAGTGTAATTAATTCTTTGTAACTACACGTTTATAACTTCTATTAAGACTATAAAATATAACACCACAAGATATACATTTGCAGCGCTTTATAAATTGCAAGATGCAGATTTAAGAACTATGGGCTGAATGTTCACACTCCATACTACTTTATTCAATGTTATTCACTACAGTTAACAAAATACATAAAACACAGCGTATACTATAATATTCAACAGCTAAATATTTCAATCAATTACATGGTTCATAACAATGTTTTCCAATGAACTATTAAATTATTATTATTTTTTTTATTTTCGAGTTATTTTAGAAGCGTATACTTGTAAAATAATATTTTATATTAGGTATACGTCGAAAATCGAAAATCTGCTGATGTGTATACGCCGTATACGTACCAGTTCACCTCTGTTTATATATATTATGCATAGTATATTTATACAATAAAATTGAAATATTAAAAAATAAATATTTTAGATTTGTATAATATTCTTAATGTTTTCGTTATTCATGTGTTATTCTATACCTGAAACTTTACATTGAATCAAAACTGAATGCTTGAACTCAATTATTAACACAAGTTATCATTTATAAACAAAGGCTTTTAACCAAATAATTTTATTGAAAATACTAACTAAACTCAATCCAGGTTTATTAATTATGTATACAATATCGTTGGCTAGATATGTATTTAATTAAAAGAACATAAACGGTAAAATGTATTCTATAGGAATTATTAAACTCAATAGTTATTAATATAATTATTTATCCAATTCTGATTAAATAAATGTTGTTCAACACTTTAAAAAATTATTAAACTTTTTAATTGTAGTCTTTTCAATTTTCTAATAAATGAATAGTAATTAAATAATTGTTTTTATTAGTAAAATGTTTTTAATTATAAAAATAATAATTCTTTGAAAATATAATAATACTTTTAATATTTTGTGGGTCGTCATATTTCTTTTTTGGAACTCAATTCACTTAAAAAAAAAAAATATTAACTAAGTTATTTGAATTTATTTTAAACTTTAACAAAATGTAAATAAAGTTCATATCTCAAACACCAATAGTAATATTTTTATTTTTAGTTTTTATGGTTATATTAAATGATATTAGAATAAAATCATGAAATATACATGAACTGACATTTGAATAAAATAGTTTGAGTTGTTAATTAAAACAAGAGTCTGGACATAACATAAATAGATTATTATTTAAATTTTCATATATCATGGAAACAAAATAAATAGGTATCAACATATGAATAATTTCATTGTACCTATCTATAAATAAATAAATTACCATACACAATAATTTGTCTTTTTATGATGAAACGTGTTGTTTCTATCACGGGCGGTCATCGTTTTCGCCAAAAAACTTGATTTTCGTTTCCGCCAAATTGATTTCTACTTATATTATTGTGATAGCGTTTGAGAACCTTTTGTTTATCTGCAGTTTTATCGATTATCGATATATATATATACTGATATTCGGGATAAGCCATCATTTTATATTGAAGATATAAAAGAGATAATTGATTTAACGTACAATAATTTCCACGCATTATAAATAAATATAAATCGAACTATATAACTATATTATTAGCCTATTATTTAACCTATATTATAATATTATAAGTTATAACCTATATCATGCGTAGTTAGTGCCTGTGTTATCGGGATAGAGTTCTGTGATCGAATATGTCAGTACTGTGACAACATAGCAGTGTGAATCGTGAATACTATTTACTGAATAATATACGTATTTATTGAATATATTAAAATTTATATATATTTTAAAAATTATTCTGTAAGATGTAATACAAAAAAAAACGATTAATAAATACAACAAACGAAATAGAAGAATATAAAAATAAAAACATTTTAAGAATGACGTTTTTAAAAAAAGTAAGCAACAATTATTTGAAATAATAAATAATTAATAGAATTAAAAGAAATATTTGACTTTAAATATATACACAAATTTAATTATAAAATTCAATTGGAGTTCAAATATTTGAATCCGAAAATTAAGTCAAACAATTTTTTGGGGGGTCAATAAGAACCGCCTCTCCATGGTGGCCTCTGGGTAACTTTAAATGATTCTCAAATTATAATTTAGACAGTTGTGTAGAAATAGATTTGGGGAAAACGAAAATCTAGCATTTACGTTTTGGCGGAAACGATACTTGGCGAAAACTAAAATCAAATTTTTTGGCGGAAACGAATTACTCCCTCTATCACAAACGTGAGAAATTAATAAAACAATTTTTTTTAACATATCAATTACTTTTTAAACAATAATTAATTATAATAAATAAAAATTTGTTTTTCATCAAAATATAATTGTTCAATACATTTATTTATATAAATATAGGTATAATCGTAACCTATTATTTCAAAATAATACTTATGAACTACGACAACACAGTTCGGTACACAGATTTCTCTTATGTTCTTATTCCAAACACGTTTATGTATTAATTAAAGTTGAATAAATAATAAAAAATAAACTAATACATTGTTTTAAAAGGTAACGAATAAAACATGAAGTAAATATAATAACTTATTAATTAATGCCTATGTTTTAAATAATATAGGAATAAAAATATATACACCCATAATAAAAAAATGTAAGAACAATAAACATGTAAAAATTAATTTTTAAATTAAAACAGGGAACCATATTTATTTATTCATTCATAATACGAGTATAACGTAAGTACCATGAAAATTTTCAATGTATATTTTTTAATGCTTTCAGTTCGCTACATCTATATTAAGTTATTGTATCACGGACAATTTAAGATTATTATAAAAAATCCAATTTAATTATTGTTGAAGTGATAAATCATAAAATAAAGAACATTTTATGGAGTAAAGAAGAAATAATTATTTATTTATTCACGGAAATGGCTTAATATTTAAAATTACAGTTTTTGAACTCAATTTATATGCTTATATACAATTAGGTTTTCACTTCTCCAAAATAGAAGAAAAATACACCGCCTAGTTAAGTTTTTGGTTTGGTAAAGTAAAAACTGTTGTATTGGGTAAAGAAAAATAAAGTTCCTGAGATGGAACGGGGTCAGAGTAATAAAACAGTTTCTTTTTAGTACGTTCATAAATAACGGATAAGACGCCAGTCTCGGCGTGAACAGACGCTTTAAGTATTAGGTACATTTCCTCCTTTTTTTCATTTGGAAAACTACCAACTGTATAGTATCTAAGTTGGCCAGAAATATTGATTACATGGATATGTGCTCAAACGTCAGCTTCATAACTTAAATCTCTAAGATTCTTGTGACTATTATCAACAGTGTTCAAAGATTTATTTTTATAATTATATTTTAATTTCATTTAAAAATAAGCTATAATTTAATAAATAAAATGTAAGACTGCATTCATGGAAAAAATTAAAATTAATTAGAAAATGTTTTTAGAGAAGGTATATATTATAGTCATTACTCATTTATTAGTTTTAAATAATTAATATCCCAAAAATCAAATTAACATTTTTTTATTTAAAATATTCATCGAGTTAAAAAAACTGTTTTTATTTTTTTTTTTTATTTTATTCAAAATAATGAGAATATATAATTAAAATATAAATTGTATAAGTACTATTTTCAATCAATTTTTTTAACTCGAAGAACTTCAAATGAATATAACTTATAAAAATATTAATTGTGTGTGTTTTTGTTATTTAATAGCGTATTAACTTCAAGGGTTATGTTACTCATATATTGTAGTTTCTATAATTTTTTTCTAAGTATAATCATATTGTATTTTATTTTCATGTTACGATCAAATATACAATTAAAATAAATTATTATTAAACAAAATTCTTAATGATCTTTTTCTTTCATTTATGATTTTTTTCTAAAGAAAATGAAATTATTCGTTTTTATGAATCATTAAACAAAATATTTTCTTGAGTTATTCATTTTATAAGGGAAAATTAAAGCATAATTTTCAGTCAAAATCTGTGACATCTGTGGTATTTTAAAAATTGTTTATGCTTAGTTTTGATCATTAGTGTTAAATTGCAGTATGATGAATATCATGACGTGTACTTAAAAATATTTTATACATGAATAAATAAATAAATTTTCAATAATTATTTAATATTCCTCCACCAAGCTAATTTAAAATAGAAACCATTGAAACCAGCATATAATTTGTCATTATAATTATTTGAAGCCGTAAAACAACTAATTAAGTTATTTTTTACTTGTATTGGGAATATAAAATTATATTTGTTGGTATTGCCGTGAATTAATTAAGGATTTTAAGTTTAATGTATTGACTTCTTATTTTTACCATTATTACCAACTATTGCTTTTCAATATCAAAACTCATTTTATAGACAGTTTATGATTTCACAATATTCAGTTGAAAATCATAATAATGTATGATGTTGATTCTGAGAATATAATGCAAACTATTGAAAAAGTTTTTCAATATCGTTATCATACTTTAGAAC